AGCATGCTCAACTCGGGAAGGAATCACCTTGGTTTAGACACAAATACGCTTCACGACATTGAGCAGAATTTGTGAAGGCCACTAAATACACTTGGAGTCGGAGACAATTTATTTGCACCCCTCAAGGTCAGGGACAAAAGAGCTTTGGACCGTCCATTCTGATTTGGGTCTTCTCTACTGAGAACCCATTTTATCTTTATAATGCTCCGTATCGCAGAATTTTCCAATGGGAATGGGAAAGCTCCACTCCTGGGGTTGCAGGGGCAGCAGGGAGGGCGGCTCTCGGGGGATTTTGCGGTGGGCAATGGCATTGCTAACAGAAAAGCTACAAATGGTACGAGCGAAGCCGTCAGCTGGACGGCAGCACGACCGCCTCACCGAGAGTAAAGGTTGCGCGTGATTGAAAGGAGTTGCGAGGAAGTACTGTGTGCATGGAACAATTATTCCTGGCAATTAAAAGTGAGCGGTTAATTAATTGTTAACAATTAAGTGAGCTGTCGAGGCTGGTCAATACACATCAACACAAGCGCTTACCGAGATCAATGGCTTTTTAAAGACCTCCTCCCCCCCCCAAATTTGATGCTCCTACCAGAAGGAGGTACTTCATCACCTACCGAGAACAGTAACCGTTTCTTGGGGGTTTATTCTAAGTTCAGTTAAAACTCTTTGTTTGAGGTGAACAAATTGTGGCTGCCACATCAGGACTGAGATCCTTCAGATATTTACTGCTGGTTATTGAAATGAAGTCGGCTAAAAAGAGACATTTTCACTGCTCAAAGTGCCAAACTGAACAAAACAGAAAGGAAAGAAACCCTAAGCAACTTTGCTGGTAGAGACTATACATTTTTTTTGTTTTAATTTCTCAGCTGAAACACGCTGGGACAGGGACAAGAGCTTGTTGTCAACGCACAAGCTCGCATCCACCCCTAGAACATCTCCACAGAACTCGGGGTGTTCATGCAGCTGCGGTTATGTCCCATCCAACAGTGTCCCTTGCCTTTTCAAGGTATATTCGAGCAATGGTTTCTCTTTCTTTCTCCTCCTTGCCCTTTCCTCATCCCCTTGACTAAAACAGCCAACCACCAGCACAGAAAGCATTTCATACCTATATTCTGCTTCCTACCAACTTGGTAGAAAAGCCAAAGGCAAGCACAAACCCTTAAATAAATCAACCAAATGAGCAGCGGATTCATTGCCCTGGCTATGCTAATCTCTGCCATAGGCTTGGGGCTGGTTAGATACCTCCTGTAATGGCTCGGGGCCAATTTTCTGCTTGTTTCTGCTTCTGTAAAGCTAGACCAGCTCCTGTTGGGTCCAGAAAAAGCCATCTGCAAAACTCAGTTTTTGAAGGTGCAATGGCAAGATCTGGGCTGTTGGCCATGGTGAGGACATGGAGGGCTTCCTAACTGAACACCCACCAGCTCTCTCCAAGCAGGTCTGGTTTCCACCTGGAGCGGGCACAGAGGCTCTGTGGAAAGCGAAGGACACCTGCGAGTTCCCACCAGCTGAAGACCTTGTGCTTTGCAGAACTACTGCTGCCCCCTTGTACCTCATCTGAAAAGCACAGCAATTACATCAATGGCTTTTATGGACCTCAACTCGTCTCATGACTTGTGACACAGGAAACCCAGCTGGAGGAGGCTTCCTAATACATTCAATACCCAAAAATGGAGAACAATGGGCTGTAAACCCCTTGCTCTGTGTCCTTCCCATGATGCCCAGGGGCTGCGTGGCTCTTTTCACCATGTTTCCAGGTGTTTTGGATTCAGTACGCTGGAAAACCTTTTCTGTCTCCCAGTTCTTCCCTTATAGTTGGTGCCCCATTCACATATGATGCCATTATGTTGACGGAAGCTGCTCCTTGCTTATGGCAACATGTCTTCATCCAAAATCAGGCCCTGTATTCCACACTAAACATGTCCCAAAGCCAGCACTGAAGGACACCAGGGCCTTCCCACCCTGCACATAGTGTTACTCACATGGTAAGTATTTCAAGGTTTTAAGTTAGCTCTCCTGATGTCCAGCATAAGGAGGCGCCGACATCCAGTGTCATCGCTGATGTCCAACATTGTCACTCAATACTTTTTCCAGTGAAAGATTTTCTTTAGGGAAAAAAAAAAAACCACCAAAGCAAAGGTGCGGTAAAATGGTCAGAGATTTCCACAACGCAGCGCATGGCAGGTGAGCTCATACCTGGTTATCCTCCTCACTTGGCCGCCTTTTCCCCTCTTTCCACTGATAAGAAAGGGGAAACAGCAAAGGAAGAAACACCTGGAAAATATATTTTTTTATTTTGGGGAAAAACTGCAAAAATGCCAGTTTAGCAGCGTGTTCCTTAGGGGAGATTTCTTGACGCTTTCCCTGAAGCATTTTTAACAACTTCCATGGCCACCTCTAACAGTCTCCAAGAGGGAGGTCCTAGACCATCACTTGGAAAAAAAATGAGATCGGCATCTTATACTAAATCTGAGCCTGCAACGTACTCGTGCCACATCTCGATGCTGCCTGTGAGTTGGCTTAGCATGGCAGAACAGGAGTCTCCTTCGTGCAAGGACCAGAATTTAGGCAGCGGAGTTTGCCTTCGAGAAAGTTGCTTTGGGTGGGTGTTTGGGCGAGTACCAAGCATTTCGGTGAGGACATCTCACGCTGCCTCTCCGGCTTAGCTGCCTGGTAGGGGCTGTATCCGCGGCCTTAGCTCCTCACAGCCCAACTCTTTCTCCTACTGTTGTGGAATGCCGCTGGGAAAAAATGATTTTCCATTGACCCTTGTATGCCTTTGTCAAAGCCAATCAACAGATCCCTCTGGCCGAGACAAGTTTCAAGTATGCAATTAAACTCTACAAAGAACATTGTTAAAAATCAAAATCTTCAACAACAGGGAATTGCCAGGAAAGCCAAGAAAATGCAACTTTTTTTCACATCATGGTTTCTCTAGAGCTGATGAGTTAACCTACATTTCATGTAAAGATACAAAATGAGCTGCCTGGAGAAAGAAATCCTGTCTTATAGATTGGGTTGTATAAAAACATTTCAAAATGGTCACAAAGTTTCAAAAATGGTTTAAACTAATTCTGTCTTGACTTTTCACGCTGGGGAGCTGCGGGGACCTGGCTGCGCTTGCAGAAACCAGAAGAAATAAAATGAGCAGAGGAAGGTGGTTATATATATATATATATATATATGTAGTATTTTTTCTTATATCTATATTTACCTTTAAAGGTGTGCTGATTCAACATTGTGCCTACTGCCCATTGCCCAAGGTATTCAAAAGAGAAAGGAAATGGGGGGAGGGGGGAAAGAGACTGGCCACCTTTCAAAGGTAGGCAATGAGTCCAAGGCCCAGGCACACTTTGGAGGTTCATAGCATTCTCATGTGCACTTAGCTCTGAGGAGCGAGAAATTCGTTGCACAGATGCAGAGAGAAAAGAGAGTCGTGCCTGTATCCAGCCATAAAGTGGCTTCGTACCCACTACAGCCTCACAGAGCAAGAACTTTGCTGTCTTGCGCGGAGCTGCGGCGTACGTATGGATCAGGTTGATGGGAACCTTCACCTCTTTTGCCCAGGGCGCAGCAGACCCTAAGCTCCTGCTTTGAAGAGGGGCCTTTCGGCAGCTGGAGATCACAGCATCTTCCCCTAAAGGGGATCAATGCATTGGGACCCCAGGCTCAGCCAGCAGGGGGAGGATCTCCTGTGCCAACCACTGAGCTGGTCCCATGCTGGGCCCCGGCGCAGCACCCACCGCCTCTGCCCCGAGCCACCCGAGGGGTTTCACCCCAAGCCCTGCCATCTCGCTGAAGGTTGCTTGGGTTCTCGCTTGCTTTTTTAGGTGAATGCACTATTCCGCTCCCGGCCAAAAGAAAGCACAATATAAAGGACACTTCATCATGGTCTCACTAACACCACAAAGCACATGATACAGAAGAGGAATACGAGGGTACCGAAGCTTCTCTAATGAAGCAAGTTAAACGGGTAGCATCCGGAATAACACGTGTGATTACAGAGGCTTCTCTCTAGGGGACTCCAGCAAGCCCGGACCCCTCTTTGGATGAAAATCCCACCCCATGTAAACGATCAGTGTGGAAGGGAGCGCATCACCCCACGGCCCCAAACCCGGCAGGAGAGCCCTT